TATATATATATATATATTCATACTTATTAGTATATAATATATACGTGTGTTACGATTATCGATAATATAAGATTAAAATTCGACACAACCATCACTAAACGCAATAAAGTTCTTTTTTCATTTGAACTTGACGTTAATGGTTTCCCCCTTTTCCCTCCCAAACTGACGACTAATCTTCTTTTTATCGTGATAAGGAAGAAAAAATGAGAAGTCAAATTGAATTAAATTAAAAAAAAAAAAAAAGAAAATAAAACAAAAAGGATACAAAATAAAAATAGAAAGAAAATGTTATGAATGATCAAAGTAATCGTTGATTAATTAAATAACATTTAATTATTATAATGTTATATAATTTATGTATAATAATTATTTTAATTTAATTATATAGGACTATATTTGAACAAGACAATTTTCAACATTGATTTACTAACGAATTAGGAATAATAAATAAATATAATAAATAAAATAATATTATATATATATATATAACATATAATATATATATTAAATATAATAAATATTTAATAATACAAAAATACTAATATAAATAATAAAAAATAGTTATCGTAAATTAATTAAATAACATTTATTTATTATAATATTATATAATATATGTATAATAATTATTTTAATTTAATTACAGGGCTATATTTGAACAAGACACTTTTCAACATTGATTTATTAACGAATTACGGATAATAAATAAATATTTAATAACATAAAAATATTTATATAAATAATAAAAAATAGTAATCGTAAATTAATTAAATAACATTTAATTATTATAATTTAATTATGCCTATATTTGAATAAGACACTTTTCAACTTTGATTTACTAACGAACTACGAATAATAAATAAATATAATAAATAAAAAATAATATTATATATAACATATAATATATATATTAAATATAATAAATATTTAATATAATATAAAAATACTTATATATAAATAACAAAAAATACTTAATCTATTAATAATAATTATAATTGTTCCAATTATTGATACGGGATGATTCCAAGGGTTGAGAATTTAAAAATAAAAGAAGAAACACACACACATCACACGCTCTTCTTTCTCATGAAAACAAAAAACAAATCAACGAAAGATTGGGGAGGGTTTTTTATTTTTTTTTTTCGCGTTGCCAGACTGGTCACGGCGTCGGTAAATTGACCGATAATGTAGCTTGGCACTGATTGCTGGATAGCAATGATGAATGCACGAGAGGGACACCACCTTTCCTACCTTTCCTACCTTTCCTCCCTCCCTACCCTGATCATCCTAGTCTTTCGATGCACGCCAAGGTCGGTGACCTTGCGCAAACCCTCGGGTACTCTTTGGCGCCACGTTTATACCTACCTTCGTCCTTTATTTTCGTTTCCTTGTTCGATCGGAGAAGAATTCATTCGTTCCTTCTTACCTCATTTTTTACCTTGACCTTGACCTTGACCGTCTATAATGACGCGTTAACTTTAATAAATTCTAACTGTTACGTTGGTTACATCATACAACCTTTTTCTTTTTCAATGTTTCCAATAAATTTTTTGCATCACTTTCGATTATTTCAAATAATTTTTTTTTTTTCTTTTTCGCGTAATAACATTTAGTGAACATTTTTTTGTTATATTAAAAAATTATTAGCTAATTAAAATTATTAATTAATATAACATTTTATTTTAATAACAAATAATAATAAAGAATAAAGAAAAATAATTTCATTATTATAACTATTATATAATTTTATAACATTATATTATATGTTTCAATACAAATAATAATTAATTTAATTATATAATATATTTTTATATTAATAATTATAATAACATTATTATAATTATTTATTTGTTTTGTTTTTGTTTTTTATTTTTCCCACCATTATCATTCATTTTCAAAAGTTTCAATTGATATTGAAAAACGTTTTATTAATTTTTAAACTGGTTTTCGTGATTTCCAACCACATTACGCATTATGAAATGGCGTAATGGCGCTCTGGTTTCAACCACAACACGCGACAGAAAAAGTTCTTAACATTATATTAAAACCAGGTAATCAGTATAGGTATTGCTTTTATCAACCCTTATACCCTATAGAGTATTTTAGGATTAAAAATAATTTCTTTTCAATTTCAAGATAGACACTTTTATTATTTCTATCTTTTTTAAACTTGCGAAATCTAATTGCAGCAATCGAATTGAACGTTTTGACAAGTTAAAACATATGTTTAATTAGCTAATAATATTCAATGTAACACGTGAGAATGTTGAAAAGAAAAATGAGTATTATTTCCGTAACTACAAATTATTGTAGTCATTATTTAAACACATTACATTTTATACGAGTATTGTAATAAGTGACATATAATATATGGCATAATATCATTATCACTTGTCAATAAATCAATTTCGACATGAGTAATTTAAAAAATTGGGTATAAATACTTAACACCGAAGTCTTTAAATTCATAAGTGCAGTTGATAAGTAACCAACTAAAGCAACCAACAAAAACAACCATGAAGGCTATCGTATTCTCTCTATTCGTCGCTATGATTTCCATGGTAAGTTCAAAAGAAAAAAAAAACTATAAGAAAACTATCATCTCTAAAATATTATTTTAATCGTGTATATATAAAATAATAATCATTAAATAAAAATATCAATTATTATACGACAGATCCTACTAGGACAAGGTGCACTAGCTGACATTGGAGCTGCTGTAGGTGTTGGTGCAGACGTTGACATAGATCCACTATTACAAGTAGCTGCAGATGTAGGTGTAGGTGCAAATGTATAAGGAGATATTTTCCAAAAAATTGGTTTGGGAGAGAAGATGTAGAAACAAATGTTAAAGAAATAGGTGCAAGATTTGATACAGAAATAGGTGCAAGAAAAGGTGTAGAAGAAAATACGATAATGTGAGAATCCTTTTCTATAACAGGTTTATACCTGTTGCTAACTTGTACGTACTTTTTCCTCATATTCTTATTTCTATCCTTAACCCACAATATACGTCCAGTATTAAAACATCTAACAATGAATGCACTATCTATCTCCGAACAACCGAGCAACAAAGCACCTGGGGAGTCTATGACACATAGTCATATTCCATGTTCTGTAAAATCAATTGAAACATCTAACAGATCTACCAAGTTTAATTCTGGACCTCTGGCTCTTTGAACAACACCGATCAGATCACTCAACAGCTTTACACCTCACCTATTTCTTAACGTCTACCTCTGTACAACCAAAATCTACCTAAACCAATTTGAATTATTTTACCAGCGCAACAACGACTTAAATTCCACATATCATTTTACTAAATTTATTTAAACAAACACCAAATTTATTATTAATTTGTATTTAAATTATTTGAAATTATGTAATTGAATTTATTTAAAATAACAATAATTTGATTGTAACTATATATGAAATATAATTTATGAGCATAAAACCAAATCTATTATCAAACCTTTCCTGCCAATTGAAAATAATGCAAAAGAAAGAAATTTCATTAGAAAAATTATATTAATTATTATTAATGATAAATAAAAAATAACAATAAAACAATTAAATAGTTTAATATAAAATAATACGATTCTAAATATATTGGGTTGGCAACTAAGTCATTGCAGATTTTGTTTTACATCTAATTCAGTTTTTTGATAGCAAAGATCAGAAATTTGATGAATGTGACATTATGACACTGTTTGACCGATGACAAAAAGTCATCAACAAAGATGGACATTACATAATGAAATAAATTTATATTTTTGAATTTTCATTCTGATTTAAAATCCGCAATTACTTAGTTGCCAATCCAATATTTCCATTGAATTTTTTTGAAGATAGAAAATTGTGAATATAAAATCAAATGAAATTCAGAAAAAAAGGATTCGAAGAGGATAGAACCCTTTTAATCAATGTTGAGTGAGAAAAGAGAATGAAGAGAAGCAATGATGATGGAAGGTGGGTTGAAGGGTTGCTGTGGGATCTTTGTGGTCAGGTACATCTATTTATAGCTTACACGATGCTAATGCATATGCGCCTATACACTACGTTAAATCTCCTTCTCGTCTAGCATAACGGGCTTTTTACACGTTGCACTGAATATTTACCGCGACATAAACGCACGTATGTGAGTGTACGATTTATTTTTTTCTTCTTCTTCTTCTTCTTCTTCTTTCGTACCCCCTTACCACTCCTTAATATATTCTTCTATTTTCCTTCTTTCTTCTTCTTATACTTTTATACATCGTTATATACTTTAAAGTAAGTCAATCATTTTCTTTCTCTCATCAAAATGGCACGTGTGCGTGATTCTCGTACGCGCATTTTCCTAATCTATTCAAATAATATATACAAACTATCAAGGATGCCATTTTTAATTTATTTTTTTTATTTAGTGCTTGATTTTTATCAGTTCCACGTTACAAAGATATATATATATATATATATATATATATATATATATAACGAATATAAAACTCGAATTATTGTACGAATCGAAAAGAAGAGAATAATTTTTTTCAATATGGCCGCTCGCGGGAAACAAATGAAAAAAATATAATGGCAATTGAGTACCGGCGATAAGAAAGTTTCTCCTCAAGAGAGGAATAAAATAACGAGATTTGTTTTTTCTTTATTTTTTTATTTTTTTTTATTTTCTTGTATTTTTTATTTCTTTTTCGCGTTACCAAACTGGTCACGGCGTCGGTAAATTGACCGATAATGTTGCTTGGCACTGATTGCTGGATAGCAATGATGAATGCACGAGGAGGACACCTTTCCTCCCTTGCATCTGAGCTATTTGATGCACGCCAAGATTGGTGACCTTGTGCAAGCCCTCGGGAAGTACTCTACTCATTGGCGCCATATTATTTTTATCATTTCTTTTCATTTCCCTTCCTTACCTTCCTTCTTATTCACTTCTTCCATCTTCATTGGTAGAATTCATTTAATTTACTTCTAAATCTTTTCTATGAAAACCTTGCATGTTCATTCACAATCTATCTATTATACTATCTACTATACTATAGTAAAAATTTAAAAAATATTAAATAAGATTAAGTAAAAATATAGTGGAAATTATTTAACTAAACTTTTTATTTATATTATTATTATTATTTGAAGTTGTTAGTTAAGTTTATTTAAATATTTGTTAATTCGATTATAATTAATTAACCTTTTGAGTGCTATAAACGTATATACGCGTTTGGTAAAAATAATTAGCGTGATCGTTCACCGCATATACGTGTTTGTTAATATTAATGTATAAAATAATTTAATATTTATATTAATCATCAATGAAATTATATTCAGAAACATCAATTTCAATTATTACATATAATTTATTATTAGAGAGAATTTGGTTAATAATAAATTATTCTATTCCTACAAAATATTTTAGGTAAAAGTATTCAGCACTGAAAGGGTTAACGTAAATTCATTATTGTTTGTAATTTATTATAATGTGGTAAAAGTATATTTTGATATACCTTGTTTAATTTATATAATCAAAAGGTGTATTCTCTCTCTCTCTCTCTCTCTCTCTCTCCCCCTCTCTCTCATATCTACAAAAATTAATTATTATTACGTTTTACTTTTTTAATGATAACTTTTTGTTTCCAAACAATGTCGAATATAAATCGTTAACCGGTGGTAAATATATCGAGACTCGTTATCGACACCTTTTCTTCTTCTTATTCTTGTTCTTATTCTTATTCTCATTCTTATTCTACTAACTATCTATCTATCTATCTATTTATTTTCTCTGTTTCTTTTGTGTCGAGACGTGTGTACAATCTACGAGCAAAAACTGAAAAAAAAAGGACGACATAAAGTACGAATGCGGCGAAACGAGCTAGAAAAGGTGACGGGGTAAAATGAGAACGAGCCACCCCCGCTCGCGTTGATAACGAATGACCCTTTAGAATTTCTATGCAACCGAGAGAGTGTGCACAGGTGGTATATCCAATGGGTAGAGAGAAAACGCCTACGTTTTCATTTTATGTCCATTTATTCCATAACTATTTCTCCTTTCGCAATTCTCTCTCTCTCTCTTTCTCTCTCTTCCTCAGATTCTTCTCTCTCTCAGATTTTCTTTATTTCAACATTACGCAATTTACATCCGTCCGCATACTTTTCTCATTCGTTTATTATGCAAATTTATATCGTAAAAAGTAAGTATTAAGTAATATTTATATAATATTTTAATTATTTATAATTAAATATTAATGTACTATATTATATTTATATNGGATTAGGAGTTGGAGCAGGTAAAGGAAGTGACTCTGGATTAGGAGTTGGCGCTGGACTCGGCTTAGGAATAGGCATAGGATCTGGTTCTGGATCACAAAGCGCACCCAGCTCGTCTGCACCAAGTGCACCAAGTTCATCAGCCCCAAGCGCACCAAGTTCTCTTGCACCAAGCGCACCCAGCTCGTCTGCACCAAGCGCACCTAGCTCGTCTGCACCAAGCGCACCTAGCTCGTCTGCACCAAGCGCACCAAGTTCATCCGCACCAAGCGCACCAAGCTCGTCTGCACCAAGTGCACCCAGCTCGTCTGCCCCAAGCGCACCAAGTTCTCCCGCACCAAGTTCTTCTGCACCAAGTGCTCCCAGTTCTGCAAAACCATCTAGTGGTTTAGGAATAGGTCTAGGATTAGGAGTTGGAGCAGGTAAAGGAAGTGACTCTGGATTAGGAGTTGGCGCTGGACTCGGCTTAGGAGTAGGCATAGGATCTGGTTCTGGATCACCAAGCGCACCCAGCTCGTCTGCACCAAGCGCACCCAGCTCGTCTGCACCAAGCGCACCAAGTTCATCAGCACCAAGTGCACCAAGCTCATCTGCCCCAAGCGCACCAAGTTCTCCTGCACCAAGCGCACCAAGTTCATCAGCAACAAGTGCACCCAGCTCGCCTGCACCAAGCTCGTCTGCCTCAAGCGCACCAAGTTCATCCGCACCAAGCGCACCAAGCTCTCCCGCACCAAGTTCTTCTGCACCAAGTGCTCCCAGTTCTGCAAAACCATCTAGTGGTTTAGGAGTTGGTTTAGGATTAGGAGTTGGAGCAGGTGTAGGAAAAGATTCTGGATTAGGAGTTGGCGCTGGACTCGGCTTAGGAGTAGGAATAGGATCTGGTTCTGGATCACCAAGCGCACCCAGCTCGTCCGCACCAAGTGCACCAAGTTCATCAGCCCCAAGCGCACCTAGTTCTCCCGCACCAAGCGCACCCAGCTCGTCTGCACCAAGCGCACCAAGTTCATC